CCCCTTTCTTTTCTCTCCCCTCTCCGTCTTTTCCCTAATTCTGGCCGCACTCCAGTCACACAAGATTTGGAGCCGATTTTCTATTTATAGCTTGTGGTTCTGTTGCCTTGACAACCAAGCTGGAGGCCAGGGCCCAGGGAGCTATTTTTGGAGCACCACTGTAATGTCAGACACAGCCTCTCTCTCTCTCTCTCTCTCTCTCTCTCTCTCTCTCTCTCCCTCCCTCCCTCCCTCCGTCTCTTTTATGTGTGAATTTAAGTATTTATTTACCTAGTCTTCATTCTATTTGCTTGCTCAGAACTTTTCTTTTTTTGTTGTTGTAAAGTTCCCAAACACTTTCTTTTGGGCTCATACAGTCGCAACAAGTTAACACTGTTCAGGTAGTAGCTACACTTGAAACTTCCTGTTTTGACATCGTCATATAGAAACATGAATTAATGTCCCTGTTCCATGAGACGGAATCTATATTAAATTAAGAGGGCAAACTTTGCACTTGGACTTCATTCAGTTTTGCAGAGTTCATGTGTTGTTCATATTTCTTAAAGTCATTGTGAAAATAATACAAATTCTTTATTTTCAGTTCTTGAACTGAAGAGAGAACCTGTGACTGAGTGCAGTTTGTGTGACTTGAGAGATGAAAATGTTACACTTCACTCTTTGTAAATGCTGTCAGTGCAAGAAATCAGAATCAGCAAAAAATCGGTTTCGGCAAGTCACACTTGCAAAAACTCTGAAATGAGAAATAGTTGAGAAAATTTAAATCAGTCTCTCCTTGAAATCACAACGTCTGTCTTCATTTTTTTTGGTATCTAAATGAAAAAAGAACTAAAGAATGTAATTCAACAAAAGCAGGCCGACCTTAAATAGAAATAGCCAACGCTACATCTGTTTTTATAACCACTGTGTTATTTCAGTCACCATCTAAAGTGTCCTGTGTGTATTTCCAGAGTGAACAGTCTGTCAGTCTGTCTGCCATCACTCAATAATCCTGTAATGTTATACTTTAGTTACACCTGGAAGCCACAGCCCTCCTTTGTTACCAGAGCAGACTCCACTATTATTCAGTTCACATTACTAAGCGCGGTTATTATTGGCACTTTCTGCTATTAATAGAGAGAACAACTAAAAACTGAGCCATGTGCTCGTCCTGGGAGTGTCGCCGCCTCAAACGACTCAGGCCGGAGCTGTAGGCGAATATTTCTGACTGCAGCAGATGTTACAGAACAGGACAGAAATAATAAACCACGCTGGCATCGTAGTCGTATTTATTATTTTTTGGATACATGACTTACTAGTTTTCATTCTCAAAAACTTTATACATATATATATATTTTTTTTACCACCTAGTTTTTGTTCTCAAACACTTTATACATATATATTTTTTTACCATCCACCCATTGAGGAATGTAATTCAGGAGTTCCCTTAACTTTCTGAGTATACTTCTTATTTCATATCCCTAAACTTAAAAACATGTTTTGTCAATGTTTGCAGTCCTTTCCTTAATTAATATTAAGACTAAACTTTTTTTAAAATTATTTTTGCAATTTTTTTTGCAATTATAACTTACTCAGATTCAACTTTATTGTTTACATATGTTAAAACTTGCCATTAGGGGCAAATAATAACAATACTGTTTTTTTAAGAATTTTTTAAAAATTAGTTCAATCATTTTACACCTGCACTTACAGCTTTTTCTGTGCTGTCGAAACCTTTATTGTAAATTGCTTTTTGTTTCTTTCTGGCATCAACGTGAAATTTTCTGTTTTGTGAACAAAACAAAAAAAAAACAGGGAAAATTTACATTCTTAGTCCAGCTTGGCTAATCTTTTACTTTTTCTGCTTTCTTTAAGTTCTGAAACTTTCAAATATATATCATATAAATACATTTGTGAGTGAAGTAATACACTGAGGTTTCCTGAACCGTTTCTCTTTTAGTCGATGTTTTTTTTTTTAATCCCGTTTGTTCGTGTGCCAGTTTGGTCGAGCACCTCGTGCAGATCCAGTCTTCTTGTTTCTCTTAGTGTGTTACCTGCAGCTCAGCTGCCACATTTCACCCCTGCCTGTTACATTCCTGGTTTTCTCAAAGGCTGTTACATACCTTTACCCCACTGTGAAGCAGCTAATCTGGCAAATTGTTTCCCCCCCTTGTAAGAACGACCAGCAGGAAACCGGGTGGACATCATTTAAAATTGGTCAATCGGACATGTTTATGCGTGATGTGGCGCGATCAAGAAAATTCACCCAGGAAATTTGACGTGATATTGGTGTTGACGGTGAACGTTTTGCAGAACCGCGGCGTCCATTTTTACCGCATGTGCTTCATCGTAAAGAAGAACTTGGGTCGATTTCTAAACTGTGACTTTTGTCATTATAAAGGCGTAAGATGTCATGTGATCCAACACAACAACAAGAACTCGTTCTGGATGGAGCTCAACAGTTTAAAATCAAATTGCGAAACTTATTAGTGTGTGTTGTTTTCCTCTAATTGTTACTGGTTTATTATTACAAAAAAAATTGCAACACGAGCTGCCGACTCAAAACCAGGTTTTTAGACACATCTAAAAGTGTGAACATCGGTCGATCGATATTATATTACCATAATTATGTTAGGGATGTCCGATAATATCGGTTGATCGATATTATATTACCATAATTATGTAGTATCTGTAAGAATTGTTATCGGTTTTTCCTCTGATAATGAAACCCTGGTAACGTAATACCAGGGTTTCACCACATGGCGTGTGCCCTAAAAATAGTTTTGGGGATAAACGGCTGTACATTAAAGTGAAAGTCACTAGATGGCAGCATTGCAGCTCATTTAATTGATCTATTTTACAATCAGGGGATTGTATGAGGACGGAATGAGTTTATCTTTTTGCAAAAGCCAGAAAGGGACCAAACTGTGGACATCGGAATGAGTTTATCTTTTTGCAAAAGCCTAAAAATGTATACGTGTAAAAATACATATAGAACATTTCTATAGGAAAGAAACTAATTGAAAAATGCACATATTAGTCCTGGATATACATTATATTAGAATAAATACCTCTTTCCTTTTGCTACTTTTTTGCTTCTGTAAAACAAGCTCTCATTAAGAACTACAGCTGGTTGGATGATTCCGCAAATATGAAATCTTAGGTGAAAGTTCTGGACCTTATTTTAGTTGAGCTGCACATGTTGTGTTGTGTAAATATAGTGCTTTTCCCTTTTCCTGGTCGTTCAGAGCCGCTCTGTCCTATTAATATAGTCACTGGCTGCTTTTGATGTGACTCAGACTGAAGGGGCTGATGACTCAAGCGGTGGATATTAAATTCACACATAAGAAAAGCCACCTTCTTAAAATAGGTATGTGGAAAAAAAAGGATGGTTGTTAAAAATAGTTTGTTGCTTCAACGTGGAGCCTTCTCATTGGAAATGAAAGGACGAGACGGGAGTTCAACTTCATATAAACTAAATGGGATTTAGTTTGAAACAGAGGTCGTCAACAGGGGGCCTGTGACCCCTAGGGCGTCTGTGGTCATGCTGAAGGAGGGGGTCATGAAACATTTGGTTGATTAGACCGGTGGTTCTCAAACTGTGGTACGTGTACCGCCAGTGGTACGCAAGTGCTCTCTAGTGGTGCGCAGGGAAAATTCATATTTTCACATTTACATTTTCAATTGAATCAATCTGAAACATACCATGCACAATTAATAGTTATTATTTATACATAAAACGTCTTTATAAACATTTATAAACATCTCTCCTGTGTGGTGGAAGCTAACAGGGAAGGCCTATGCTGATATATTCTAATGTTGGTCATCATGGTGGTACCCAGAGAGATCAATGTTTTCTCAGGTGCTACAGAGCATACATTTTTCACATTTTCACAAAAAATCATAACAAAGTTAGTGAATATGTTCCTAAATTAACTAGTTCCAAATGTGAACCAACAGACTGATGCCACACAGTGTTATTTTACTGCCAATGTCTCCATTGAATATTTATTTATTTATTTTTCATTTAATGTCCATTACTGTTAATTTTCTGAAGTTGACTTTTCAGACAGACTCTGACTCTAATTCTTATTTGTCTCTGCAACATAAAGAGAAGGTAGCAGCTGTAAAAGGTAGACAAGGATCACCAGTACTCTCCCTACAGTCCCAGCAGGAACTTTGTTATTGATGTTCTCATTGGTCACTGTCTGTCAAGATAGGTTTGGTTAGTAGGTAACACTAAAAGTTTTGAAGAAACAATCATCAACCTCACACTCCCTAAACAGCAAAACACTTGTGAAGGATCAACGCAAGTGGATTGGAATCATTTTTATGCTAGGCTGGAAGACGTGCACACACACACACACATACACACACAGACACACACACACACTTCTGGTGCAGGTTTTTGTACAGCAGTTCCATTGATGAGTCTTCTCCAGTCTCAGTGACTCAGACAGGCTTTGACAAATTTGAATTAAAATGCGCGCCCCCTGGTGGCTGTTTAGGGACGTCCACGTATCGCTGTGTGAAAGAGAGATTTCATGTACTGTGTGTTGTAAACTGATGTCTTCATGTTTTTAAGGTAATAAAACCAAACACCTTTTCATTTTCTTAATGTTTTCCAGTTTCTTGGACAGGATAGATGTGGTCAGACAGAGCGACTACACACCCACTGACCAGGTGACACGGACAAACACCTAAATATAAATAGCTTAAGTTGTCAGTTTTTGTTCGGTTCATAAGATTCTAACGCTGATTTTTTTTTTTTTTCCAGGATTTGTTAAGATGCAGAGTCCTGACATCAGGGATCTTCGAGACAAGATTTCAAATAGACAAAGTCAATTTCCAGTGAGATACAAATTACCATATTTATATATTTCATACTGCTTATATATGTTTTATACGATTGCAAAATGCAACTTCTCCACTGCGTTGTATTGGTCAGGTCTTTACTGGTGCAAACTAAGCTACTCTTCCTTTTTTTGCCTTTGACACAGTATGTTTGACGTTGGTGGCCAAAGAGATGAGCGTAGAAAATGGATCCAGTGTTTTAATGGTACAGTCTCCAATTCTTAGTTGTTTACAAGCACTAATTAAGCTTTCAATATTTCATATATATGTCTGTATATATGTGTATATATACTGTATATACTGTACTGTACTATATATGTACATATATGTACATATATATCTATACATATATATACATATATGTATATATATGTATAGATATATATGTACATATATGTACATATATACATATCTACATATATAAAAACATACATATATACATATATGTATATATATGTATGTTTGTATATATATGTATATATGTGTTTGGTCCATTTATTTGATTCTGAGTGTATGTGTGCTTGTGTTGCAGATGTGACAGCCATCATCTTTGTGGTGGCCAGTAGCAGCTACAACATGGTCATCAGAGAAGACAATCAGACCAACAGACTACAGGAAGCCCTCAACCTCTTTAAGAATATCTGGAACAACAGGTCAGATGTTTGACTGTTTCTTTGAACAGAGGCAGATAAAAAGAGGAGAAATAAACATGAAATAATCTCACTCTTCATTTGTTTTTCCAACAGGTGGCTACGGACCATCTCCGTCATTCTCTTCCTGAACAAACAGGATCTGCTTGCTGAGAAGGTCCTGGCTGGGAAATCCAAAATTGAGGACTATTTCCCAGAGTTTGCACGCTACACTACACCTGACGATGGTGAGGGGTTGATTAGATTAGACGTTATATCAGACGCTCCGAGTGAGCTCTAAAGTCAGAAGGATCAGTGCTGCAGAACTGATCTTAATATGTAAACAAATCAAAGATGACCGTCCAGGGAACTTTTTGAAATAGAAACTGCTTGGACTGCAGCCGATAATAACACCTGACTAACATAAGCTAACGTTATTGCGTTTCTATTTACAGTTTCTATTAACGATCTATGATTTAATTATTCTTGTGTCTTGTGATGTGATGACTGTAAAGTTAACATAACGCTGAGAAAGAAGTAAATTCACACATCATCATAACAAAAAATAGTTTTAAATGTGTTTTTAAACTGGGTTGTAAAAGTCTCAGTGACATGACCAAAAAGGGAAACAACAAGAAAACATGACGACGATGTTTTTTTTTTTCTCTCCCCAGCAATACCAGAACCAGGAGAGGATCCCTCTCCCCCAACAGCAATACCAGAACCAGGAGAGGATCCTCGTGTAACAAGAGCAAAATACTTCATTCGGGATGAGTTTTTGGTGAGTTCAGTCTGCGTATTTTAACCACGGCTCTCAGTCCATTCAAATATTCAGTCACTATTAATTATGATTGTCCACACTTCACTTGCAAATGATTTAATGTACATTGCATATTTAACAAATATTTATTACTTTTCTATGCGTGGAAGATGACAAATATTTTTGCTTTCAGCAAGTTTCCATTTGTTATTTCCAAACAAAGGAACATTTATCCTAACATTTGACCTAAAATCTCAATCATTTAAATGGTCTGCACTTTTGTGTGATTTTGTATTTTTCTACCTAATGATGCCTCTCTGTTTCTTTTTGGCCACTTTTCTCATTTTCCCAAATTTGATTGATTTTTACCATTTTATCTGCATTTATCAATATTGTTGGGATTAACAGGAGGCTTTTTTTATCCAGTGAAATCCATTCGTCACCAAACCGTAACACCCCCTAAGTGTATTACGTTGGTCTTTTAAGCAGAGGTTTTTGATAACGTAACCTGATTTAAATACAATAACGTTGTACATACACACTCGTCTCTGACCTGTCCTTGTCTGTGTGTCTGCTGCAGAGGATCAGCACGGCCAGCGGAGACGGGCGACACTACTGTTACCCCCACTTCACCTGCGCGGTCGACACAGAGAACATCCGCCGCGTCTTCAACGACTGTCGCGACATCATACAGAGGATGCACCTACGGCAGTACGAGCTCTTGTGATGCAGAGCTGCGTTTCCGGGCTGACCACCTCTATCTATATAACCCCGACCCCACTTCACAACCAGTTAGTTCACAACCAATAGAATCACCCCTGACACGTTCACCGAATTCACCCATCGACTGAGTGAACAAAGGACTGAAGCTGCCCCTCCATCCGCATTCGAACTCCTCCTATTGCTGAGCATCAGGAAAAAAAACACAGCGAGTGGAGAGCCTTTTTACCAAGGAAACACGGTGGAGGAGTTTCATCAGCCACTTCGACCAAGAACGAATGGAGTCTCTTCACGCCAGCTTCACCTCCTCACCCGGAGGGACAAACATGACCAAAAAGGGAAACAACAAGAAAACATGACGACGATGTTTTTTTTCTCTCCCCCAACAGCAATACCAGAACCAGGAGAGGATCCTCGTGTAACAAGAGCAAAATACTTCATTCGGGATGAGTTTTTGGTGAGTTCAGTCTGCGTATTTTAACCACGGCTCTCAGTCCATTCAAATATTCAGTCACTATTAATTATGATTGTCCACACTTCACTTGCAAATGATTTAATGTACATTGCATATTTAACAAATATTTATTACTTTTCTATGCGTGGAAGATGACAAATATTTTTGCTTTCAGCAAGTTTCCATTTGTTATTTCCAAACAAAGGAACATTTATCCTAACATTTGACCTAAAATCTCAATCATTTAAATGGTCTGCACTTTTGTGTGATTTTGTATTTTTCTACCTAATGATGCCTCTCTGTTTCTTTTTGGCCACTTTTCTCATTTTCCCAAATTTGATTGATTTTTACCATTTTATCTGCATTTATCAATATTGTTGGGATTAACAGGAGGCTTTTTTTATCCAGTGAAATCCATTCGTCACCAAACCGTAACACCCCCTAAGTGTATTACGTTGGTCTTTTAAGCAGAGGTTTTTGATAACGTAAACTGATTTAAATACAATAACGTTGTACATACACACTCGTCTCTGACCTGTCCTTGTCTGTGTGTCTGCTGCAGAGGATCAGCACGGCCAGCGGAGACGGGCGACACTACTGTTACCCCCACTTCACCTGCGCGGTCGACACAGAGAACATCCGCCGCGTCTTCAACGACTGTCGCGACATCATACAGAGGATGCACCTACGGCAGTACGAGCTCTTGTGATGCAGAGCTGCGTTTCCGGGCTGACCACCTCTATCTATATAACCCCGACCCCACTTCACAACCAGTTAGTTCACAACCAATAGAATCACCCCTGACACGTTCACCGAATTCACCCATCGACTGAGTGAACAAAGGACTGAAGCTGCCCCTCCATCCGCATTCGAACTCCTCCTATTGCTGAGCATCAGGAAAAAAAACACAGCGAGTGGAGAGCCTTTTTACCAAGGAAACACGGTGGAGGAGTTTCATCAGCCACTTCGACCAAGAACGAATGGAGTCTCTTCACGCCAGCTTCACCTCCTCACCCGGAGGGACAAACTACAGCATAAGACCACCAGGTATAATTTAACATCTATCTATCACCCACTCAAGGAGACCATATGAGAACCAGGACCTCCTGCTACTTACAGATGACAGAGGGAGAAGCAGAGAAGGAGGGAAGAAAGCCCAGGAGAAGGCGACAAACACTGAGGGTGGTGAGAGCTGACGGGGATTTTCTGACCACTCTTTGTGCCCTGGATCGGACTAATTGATCACTGGCTGCCTGTGGACCAGAGTGCGACACGGATATAAGATCACACGGCTCAAATGAACTGCTCCTCAAGAAACCGGTAGTGAAGAGAAGGCAAAAAAATTAAAAAAAAAAAAAAAAAAAGACTTAAAAAAGCCCCCCTGAAAAAATAGGAAAAATACCATATAATGCATAATTTCATGCAGACCAGTGAACATAGTACAGTGCAAAAAAAAAAAAAATCCAAGCTATATATCTAGATATTTATATATGAGTGTATATAAATATGTATATATATAATTATATAAATATTATATATTACTATAATAACACAATTCAACTTTTAATTATTTGTTAGTTTTTACCCCATGTTGTGTGTTGGCCTACACTCTGTGTGTAATCTGCCTATGTGCACCGTTTGAACCCCCCCCATCTGCCCCTCACCTGCACACACACCTAAACACACATGCACATATATATATATACCCACTCCAACCCCTGCTGCTATTAAACAAATAATCAACATATGGAAAATAAGGAGGTTTTATTTAATAAGGAAAAAATAACGCAAGGAAAGCATGAAGTAAAAGACTGGATGCAACATTTTCACCGTGGACATTCACACACACACACACACACACACACACACACCATACCTAACAGCCCCTGGCTTTAAGTACGTCTGTCTTTATTTTACTGCTGGACTATTATTCTTGTACAGACTGTAAAATGTATTATTTTGTACAACTTTATTGAAGAAAAGAATAACTTGTAGAAGATCCCTGTGCCTTGATCGCGACTGTACATGTAAAAATGAGCTAATATGTAAGTTATGTTTCACTGCGCTGTACAGCTGGATTGTTCTCCCACACCTCGTACGTGCTAACGGAGCCCCCCCACCACCACCACCCCTGACCGTGCTTGGGTCCGGCGGGATAGGGGCGTGAGATCGGAGCGGAGATCTTGAAGCTTAGTTTCTTATTATTGATATTGGTTTTTCTTTTTCCACGTTTGTTCCCTATTTCATTTCTTTTGCTTTCACTCTGCTTTGGTTTATAAAATAGAATTTAATGAAGAAAAAAAAAGGAGGAGGAAAAAGAAGATGATGAAGATGACGATCAGACGCATCACCTTAACGCTGTGTAGTGAAAGATAACGAACCCTAACACAGTTAATAATACATATTCATAAAATATATTTTAGGTCGTATATATATTTTATTTATATGTGTTTCTCCATTGTGAGCAGCTTTCTTTTCCTTTCTGTCAGTGACATCTGCCTACATTATTTTTAATGTGGTGATTCTGGTTTCAGTGGGATGACTATTGATTTTCTTTTTTTTTTTAAGAAAAAAAAATGATTTCATCTTTACCTCTTTTGACGGAGGGGGAAGTATTCAATTGCAAAACATTGCTTGTTTCTACATAAACCAAATTCTTTTTGCCTAAACAAGAAGGAAGTGTTGTTTTAATGTTTGTCTTATTCATAGTTTTTTTTTTTTTTATCCACATCACACACATACTTTCATTAGGAACGGCATCAAACAAAAGCAGCATATTAGACATGTTGTTGTTCATTTGCCAGGATAACTCGAGGTAGATATGTCATGAAAAGGTGACCCTCCAATTAATGTTGACATACCTTAGTGTGCTAATGTTGAGAACAGTTACAAAAACATTACATAGTTAGATTATATTATTTTTCATCTAGATAAAATCTGAGATTGTGAGAAACACTTTCTTCTCGCAGGTCAAACAAAGATGACAAAAGTGAGCAAATTAACAAGATGATAAATGAGGTTGTTATTTTGAATTGGAGAGGTTATAATGTATCGTGGGTGTTTCTGTTTGTTTATCTATTTTCCTCCCTGAACTCTAACAATTGAGCAGCTTAATCAGCCTGACACTGGCAGAAAGAATTGGGATGTTACAAATATTTAAATCTGGTCTTTTGTTGTTGTTTTTTTTAAAGTGCAGCTAGCAAGGCAAACCTTTGACATGAAACATTGAATGAGCCTGGGATTATTACATAACATAACATTTCTCATAACAGAAAGACAACAGATCTTGATTCTGATTGGGCAGAACCTGACAGTGAAGAGTCAATTTCTGTTTCTACTCAACGGTGTCCCTGCACGACTTTAAAACCGCAATGGAAAGAATGAAAGACGAGATGGTGTTAATAGACTATTTTGAGGACTTACGTGTCATTTTTGATATGCTTTCAACCCATCATGACATTTACATGTCCCTCAAAACCCTGAAGGTACAGCTAAAGGAGTTAATTTTACCTGACCCACCCGGAACTGGATAAACCACCTTTGTAGATTAATACACAATTCTGGTTAACAATAAATTTAAAATAAATAAATAAATAAACCTCTTCATAATAAAAAACATAAGCTAAAAGCTGCCTCTGACACATTTTACCACTACGCTACTA